TGGGAAAACAGGTGCAATGCACCTGCATAATGCATTCCGTAATTCGAATGCCCAGCCATTATAACGATGGGGTGATTCGCGTGGCGTGGGGGCCCATGAAGGGTGAAAAGATAATACGATGGGGGCCTTTTGAATAGAAGTCAAAGGGGTTGCTTTGTGCATGTGATTTGGAATGCGGAATGTGATCCAAATTACCAGAAACTTAGCGCATGAAATATTCCTTGCAATGTGATCAATTAATTAAGTTTTAAATGGATGTATTACCGTTCTGAGTGGGCTAAAGAGGAATAAATAAGTGTAGACTGACGAGGAGAAGGAGAGAAACGTAGAAAAAGAAAGAATATCGGAGAGAATTAATGAGTGGATGATGTAGAAGAAGAGGGAGAGACAGAGAGAAAGAATGACAGAGAAAGGGTGAAGGGTTGAATACTAGATAGAAAGATAGATATAGAAATAGAGTTACAGAGAGAGTGAGTGAAAGCACGAAAGGGGGGGGGGGTCTGTTTACATCAAAACTTCATTAAAACGAAGAGGAACTCTCAATATCTAATGAAAATAGGCTTGTCAGCGCAAAATGTGAAGAGAAGCAACATAATGTGGATGGCTAATTACAGGGTAGGCCTATATACGGCAAATTTTGTCATTTTAGCATGATTCATATACCGCGGAATGAATGAAATTTTTTCTTTTCTAGTGTTGATCGCTTTCCTTATAACTTTCAGCTGAGGGTTTATTTCTTGTTGCATGCTACAGCTATTTCAACCAGTTCAGTTACTTTAAAGGCATCGTTTAACAATGATAAATCTGAAATGCATGACCCTACGTGTTATCAGTGTCTGTGATATGGTGTAATATTGAAGCCCTTAAAAAAAATGCCCCTTCAAAAGATCATGAAGTGCCTTAAAAAAAGTAAAATTCTTTGAGTGACCGGTTTTTACCATACTCATTTTCCCCAATCGACTGTAGGGTTATAGAAAACATTGGGAAAACGGTTTTGAAAATTCTAATTCCAATCATGAATATCTTGATAAGCAGACAGGTGATCGGCTTGTAAACTTCATGGGATTCCTGACTGACCTAAAGGTTTATAATTAAGGTTGCATCATGAGCTCAATCCAGGAATTTTTTAAGAATATGAGGCAAAGATACCCAATCCCTTTTAGAGCCATGCCACATTTTCAAAAAAGTACCCTCCAGTGTGGCTGATTGGTGTATAAGAAAAAAGGTGGGGGAGACACATTTTCAAGACAGAAAAGAAATCGGATACGAGACAGAAGAATCGGGCAATTTGTAATACACGACAAAAGCGGGAGAAAAAAGAAATTAATATTCGGACCACAATTCGATAATCTGAATACACCCAGGCCATTTTGTGGTCAGTTATTAGGGCATGGTACTTTATTCATCACAGGATAAGGTAAACTTATCTCCGTTCTCAGCGCCAATGGTCACTCGGAAAGTGCGAATAGTTTATTCGCCAAATATTTTCATTCTCAATATCAATTTTCATAATCATGCATCAGAAAAGGGCAACAGCAAATTGTTCTTACTTCCTTTCCAATATTAATTTCATAATCATGTACAATTAAACAAAAAAGTATTTGAAAGATGGAAAACGGTCAATGGCCTGAGGCAAGGGCGAACTAACGGACAACTGACCGTTTCAAAGCACGTGCTACCAACAGTCTGCTACGCACGCGCGTGTTCTAGTACAAACACAAGCCGACGACGACTAGACGGCTTGACCGCCGCCATCGCTCCGGCCAATCTGACCATGTCCAGGGAGAAATGCCGCTAAGTAAAGCAAACACATCCCAACGTGAGAACGGGCAGGTTCGGCTTAAAATGGACATGCCTGCCATTATCCATGACACAGTTTTCAGATGAGATTATTACACTTTTTGTCTCAGTGCATTTGTCCCAGGGTTTTGGATGCATTTCTTTTAAATCTTGGAGAGCTGTGCAAACGTTTGAAACCGGCGAGGTCGCACGACCCCATGTTTAGCCAGGTGCCTGTACTTCATCCATTGGTCACACTCGGTCAAGCCACATTTTCATTTCAAAGTTCAATGTCATATTCAGATCACAAAAAAAAATTACAGTCTGGCAGGAATTGTTTGCAAACGGTGCAGCATTTGAATATCTGGAAGGAAAATAAAACTTTGCAATTTCTCTATGATATTGGCCCCTCGCAAGATTGACAAGAGCTAGATGAACATACGCGCTCCAAAACTTCTTTCAGTTTCATGAATGCTATCACTGGCTATGGACGATAAGGAAAGTGAAGGGCTGATATTCGGGCAATCGACGTCAGTCCCCCCCCCCCACACACACACCCAATAAAAAAGGCTAGCAAAGTTACGACTTGTACGCCAACAGTTGACCGCCACCAAGTCTATTCCAGCTCACAATGTTAGATATCTTTCGTCTACCGGTCTCTTCATAATAAATTAAAGGACTTCTTAAAATATACATAAAAGTATAAGAGAATTGTAGAAGAACTCCCGGAGAAATACAGGAAAATTTTACAAAAGATTGTTTACATAATGAACGTTATTGTATTTCTTCCCTTTTCAAGATAACATAACTTGACAAGATATTTAAGATAAGATAAGATAACATAATAAAAACAATCCTATCCATGTGAACTTCGATGAAAATTTATACATAAACAATTAAAGACAAAGACCAGTTCTGGTCATGCGATTGCATTGTGAAAGAAACGTTGTGGAATCGATCAGAAAAGGTTGATCATCTAGCATATGTATTGGTGTGTACTGCAAGGTTCTGGAATCATCAAAATGATAAGAAATTTGGCCCAGTCTTGATAAAGTTACAAGCCCTGTACACATAAAGATGTATATTGGACTACCCCCACACGTGTGCGACACGTGAGTTTTATCTATCATGTCCAAATAGATATAATAATTTACCAAATATATCAATTAGTAGGCGGTTTCTCTGCAAAATTTGTATGATCACGTATTAGTCAAAACATATTCTTTCACATGATTGGTAATAAGAGCTTCCATTTCATTATTTGAGAAGGGGGGGGGGGGCTTCCAAAACTGGTCTTTACCTTTAAATAGAAAGAAAGTATTAATCGGAACATCGGGAAGAAGAATGTTGTAACTGGATAATTGACGTGCGTGACAGCTTTTGTTTTGTTTCACCTCAATGTCAAAGGTTACACTTGCATTGTTCTGGACCTTGACACGACTAAAGCGGACTAAAAGGGGAGTGGTTTGTTAGTAAACAATCCATTTTAACTTTTACTCCTACTGAGAAAGAATCATCGATTTGGGGCAATTACGCACGCTCTCAGGATAGCGTATACCGAACCTCCCGTTGTTCAGGAAAATGAGCACTGTCTTATAGTCAACCTGTTATACCAACCATGCGGTTTACCTCATTTTCTGCTCCATTTTCCTCTTTTTCTTGTTGAACTTGATAATCACGCACTCCTCTGAGAGTTCCTTTGCCAATCACATTGACTGATTTGTGTCACTCAATAGTTTCCATGTTATGACAAGGCCTGATTTGACAAGCAAGTATGACAATTGTATTCAAGTCTTTTATTTGAATTGCCGTTATCATACGCTCTGGGGAGCGAGAGGGGGGATTCCATGATATCACAAATGGGAATACGGTCCTTCCAGAATATGATTCATGTTCCAATTTATCGATGATTGTCTGTTTTTAGATCTAGCCAAATAAATTCGCGTCAAGGTTATCACCCCTCGCTTTTTGTGCGTGGTTTCTTTGCAATCTTCCTTTATTTTGTTTGGACATGAAGTAAAGAAGGAATATAATATATATAATCCATTTTTCGTCTGGTTTGAATCTCTGTAGTGAATGGAAAGTTACATTTCACATTTGAATTTGCCAATACATGTAGACATATTTAACGAGAAACATCCACCCAATTTTGTGAGCTCAGAGTTTGGCGCATTTTCTTTTGTTTTATATTTGCCCAACAAAGCAACATTCGCCATATTGTGTATAGCAAGACAAGAACCGCGTTGGCCAAACTGTTTTATTTTGGCTGTGACCATGGACCTGCTGCTCTGACCATCCATTCTCACTGTATGGATGTGATTGCGCCCTCATTCGACAGCACATGCACCTTTAATACCACGGGCAAAATTTCTTTTCATCATATACCGGTACACAACTCCACCTCGTGTTGGCTGCGAGTAGGGAAACGCGTCCTCAATCGAATTGATAGGGGAGAAAGAGAAAGAGAAAGAGAGAGAGAGAGAGAGAGAGAGAGGGATAGAGAAGGATTTTTTTTTTGGGGGGGGGGGGTGGAGGCTGAAGCAAAGTATGGTTCGAGTTTTTGACCCTTTTTCATACCCTCCCCACCCGATGGCTTTGTACTATCGAATTTTATTCATCATGATGGACTGGTGCCCCTATTCCCGACATAGCACCAGTGACCACTGGATCCACGCTGCGCCTCTGTCTCGCTCATCAGATTACACTGACGCCAATCAAACACCCATCGCAATGGTGTACGTCTACACCGGTCGTTAACACCAGAAGCAAACAAGCACATCTTACTGACATTACACAGGCACATTCACACCAATCAGGAACACCAGATGCAAACAAGCACCTTATTGCGATATCATTCATACACCTTCACGCTTCTTACATTCTAGGATACTTTCATCATTAATGAACACCAGTGATCAGTGTCAACCCAGCATCTCTCTCCGACACGAAACACTTTTTTAAGAGATCACCAACGACGACCACACAACTCCTTTCAACACGTTTCACTTTAAAAAAAAATAATATTCCCACTTTCCACAATCAAACGCACTATTCCTTTATCTCCAAGAACCACCAGGTCCATGCTCAAACAATCTCACGTTATTACTTATTATTTCCAAAATGAACTATCTAATTTATGACAATCAATCACACACAACTCATATTCTCACACAACCATGACATACATCTTCAAAGTACTTTAAACATAACACTGACACAAATTTGTTTATGTTTTCTGTGTTTTAATTCATTTTATGAAAAATATCTTATATTTCTATAATATACACAACAAGTATCGCCTCGACCAGAACGAAACGTAGAAAAGGAAAAACGACAAATATAGTACTCACAAAAACAACTTCTGAAACAGCAAGTTTAACAAGAACAACAAAGTTGGAAACATAATCAATATAACTAGAAAAATACGAAGGATTTGGTCCATAGCTGTACTTGGAGAAAAAAAAAAACGACACTTATTCTTGCATAACATTTTTGACAGGCACTTTGAAAAGCTTCAGTTGAGCAACAAAATTAAAACTTGCGGAAATATGTTTTTCACTGCAAACACATCAGTCTTGTAATGTATCGATAAATATATATATGTATTTACTGGGAAAAAAAAATCAGGCGATGCGTTTTTGTTATGATAGCAAAGCACATTATTTATCACATTTTGAGTCACAGCAAAAGGCACATAAGCTGGTTTTGTCTATTAAAAATAAAGCGGCTTTAAAATCACGGGAGGCTGGAATGTACTAGTATCCATTTTCTTCAGTATAAAATGTTTTTCAAAGTAATTTTTATTTTTGGTTGGAATATGAATACAGATTTCGGTAGTGATTATCTGGCAAATGAAATGACAAAAATACTTTGTGATTTGTTCCAGGGACTCATGTCCACAATTTAAAGATCCCTGTTTGGTTGATGCTGTTCTGCATCTTTTGTTGGTAAACAAGTACCAACACATGATTAAAAAAAATAGTACTATAACATCAGGAATATATTAGTTTGACAAAAGCATATGAATACAGTAATACACGTGTAAACGTTATTGGAAGAACTGAATACATTGTAACATCTGGAAGAATAAGTCTGGAAGCTCTTTGCGACTTTGATGAATACTTTTAGTAAAGAAAAGTGTCTTTCTTTTTCAAACTGTTTTTGTGTCTCTATTCGCGACGGTGGCTCCATGGTCGCCAGACTGGTTCCCCTGATTGCTGCACGTGTACTTGGTGAAGGACGGTCTTAGGTGGTGTGAGGGGTTGGGGTAGAGTTTGGAAAGCGACTTTGGTCGGTCGCACAATGGGAGCTGGAGCGGGTGCAGGTAAAGCTACCAGTGTTGGTGTTTGGACGGCGGTGACTTGCTGGGGTGCGTTCACCTGAGTTTGTGGGGGAGGGATGTGAACTTGAGCATATGCCTTTGGTGATTCTGCCGAGACCGGTCCTAGCGATGCTGGCGACATGGTTGGCGATGCGAGGATTGGAGCACTCTGAGCGTAGACTGGAATGAAATGACTTGGTAGCTGCCCACCGGCGGCGAGTGCCTGTGGAGGCAGGACAAGGGTGATCTCGCCGCCCGAGGGAAGAGATCCAGGAAAACCAAGTGGGATTCCCGATAGCACCTGAGTGTGACCTGCAGGGACATTGTTCGTGTTGCATGGACTAACAGTCTCTACTCTCGACTGGACACACTGTTGTTGTTGAACTGGTGATGTCACGATGCCGTTTGATGAACTTAACGCCGTTGAGGTCGCCTGCGAGATCTGAACGCGTATCGGCTGCGTGACCTGCGATGTGTTGACAGCGGTAGACATTGTTGGGGAAGGAGTCGCGGCTGGGCTTGGGAAGATGACCGTTGGTTGTCCCGCATGCAGTGGCGCAATGGGTGACACGGAAACAGGCGACGTCGGTGGTGACGGTTGCGATGAAGCGGACGATGGCGACGGGGTTGGAGGGTTACAGGTATTAGCTAGGTGATTGATGAGGGATAGTCGCATGTCGGGACCACCAATGTTCTCAATGTTTGTGAAGAATCGGGCAACCTCGTGGACGCATTCACTGTAGCCCTGGCGGAATCGACTAACCATGTTAGGGTCGGAAGAAAGAGGACCTGGAAATAGAATAAAAGGAAAGAATCTTCGATTAGCAACAGATTAATATCGAGATTACATTTTAAATAAAAGGACTAAAAGGAGAAATTCTATGTAAATCAAGGCAGCTTTTATTGAATCGACATGAAAATGTTACTAAATTTGTACCTCCTAAAATAAAGGAGAAAACTCGCGTACTTAATGGATGTAACATTAAATGTCTACTACCAATTCAGGATTGGTGTATTATAGCAATGGAAGGGCATCAAATTTCAGTGTGGATTATGTATAATTTTCTGATATTTATCAGATGCTGTATTTATTCTTAAACTGGTATTTCGGGGATAGGAATTATCATTGATTCTTACCTGTAAGTTGGTTCCTTTGGATGTTCCTGAGATGTTTGACAGTCATCTCCAAGATATCTGCTTTCTCCAACTTGGAATGTCTTGAGCTCTGTATAAATGAAACAAAGAAAAAACTTCGTCAAGAACTGGCTTCAAAAACCGCGCCAAGCAATGGCAACACAAAAAGTGAGTCTTCTTCCTTATTAGGTGACGTCACATAGACAAAGATTCTTTGTGCGAGGGTGAAAGTGTGTGTGCATGTGTGTCAAAGGCATTCCATCGCAAATTGAATTTAGCGCCATACGCAAGAGATTGATAGCATTTATCCAATCAGCGCGCAGGATTTAGAATGGGTCGTGTGGCTTGAATACACAAGTCGCGTGAGCTGAGTGCAGCGAGATGGGCAAGAAAACCAAAAAGGATTATACCGCTGAGTTAAAGACCGGCCCACCGAAGTGAGATTGAAAAGACACCTTTTGTCTACTTTTTGTAATGGAAAGAAAAGAATAATTGGTTTTCCTGTGAATAACCTCAACAATACGAGACAAATCCTTTCTGCAACCCTACCGTAATTTCGAGAAGCAGAACCATCAAGTCATGATGTTCGGAGAAACGAGAATGACAGGTATGCCTCAATTTTTTTCTTTCTAAATGGAAATATTGGTGTCCACTGCCATGTGGTTAATTTAGCAGATATAAACATTCAAAGGTTGTGAGATGACACGCATGTTCGGAGCGGTGATTTACAGCGGGAGGCAAACTTTGGAGGCGAGTCTCACGAGTTTCAAATATCATCATGAGCTCTTGCCCCCTTTTCTTGATGCCATCGATCGACCGTCATGAGACACGGGAAGGGGCGCGGGTTTTCTCAATAAATTTGGCGCGCTGTCTTTGTATACGTAGGAAAATCAAACACCGAGTCAGTGGATTAAAGCAATGAATTAAAGCAATTAAGCTACTCAGTAAATACACTCTTTAGGATCGAGACTTTGAGAGTAAATCAATGATCGGACAACTAGATTTTGGCGCGTTTTAGAGATCCACACACGTGTCACCGTGCTAATAAATACAACCTCATATCGAATAGTGTAACAAGTACAAAAGTCGCATGTTCAATGTCCTATAAATTTACAGTCATGGCATAACAAAGTACATCTGAAATATATAACCCCGGTATGTGGAAAAGTGTGTAGCTAAATGAAATTTACCTTCAAAATAAGACAAGTCCTAAAAGTTAAAACATCCAAGCATTTTACCACATTATTATTCATGAATGAACTGCTAAAAAATAATTGAATAACCACTAACGAAATAAGCCACAGCATTGCCTTTCTCCCAACCGAAGATGAGCGTTAATCGTTATTATACTGAAAATCCTGATCAAGTGAAACCTACAGTATACAGCACAAGCACTGCACGAGCGAGGAGCCACTGATCGCGACGCTATTTGCATGGCAACCGTTCGGTCACTGTACAATTGCGACACTATCAATGATAATTGCTGGTGAGCGCGTTTCAAAACTATTGCAATACAGAAGTCAAGTTAAGAGTCATAAAATAGACCCCCTTGGCCCTTTACCACGGGAATTGCCTTTGATACACACGGATAGACACAATCAATGTAAATGGAAATTAAAATTACATGACCAGATCACATATTTATTCACAGCATTACGAGCGCGAGGATGGGAGGATGTTTAAAATTGAAGAAGAGGAACACATAAACAAAAATATGAGAGTTGGTAAAGCCTTGCGAATTTGGCAAACTAGAAAAATAATGCTCTAACAGAAAACAGGAAGGTTGAAGCCTTTACCCAAGGTACTGTAATTAAATACCAAGTTGAAAACATTTGGAACTAAATGATATACAGAACTCGGAAGTAGACAATCTTTTTTTTTTTAATACTTACATCTTTGTTAGTTGCTTCTAAGATAAGAGCCTTGAGCTGTCCTAAACTATCGTTAATCCTCGCTCGTCTTCTCTTTTCCATCTGAGGCTTGGACGACTGTAATAAAGAAATGACAGGAAGAATTTAGCTTCACAAATTAAAACAAAAATGAAGAAATGCAACACTTTTAACTTTGACAAGTTATTTACACTACAAGAATGACATGATGAATCTGATCTCGCAATAGGATATGATGAGAATTTAGCATCGGAATTTAAAATAAATATCTGAAGAACAAAATATATATGACAACTCAAACTGACGGACAAAATTGTTAAAGCTTCTATGAAATCTCCTTTACAGAATCGTGAAGTGAGAATCAGAAGATGAGAAGAAATATTTACCTTTCGTCCCGATCCCTCGTGTATTTTTGGTTTAGTATCCACAGGCATTTTGGAGAAATAAACTTCACGAAGAGGCATTCAAAATACTGAGAATGTAAAACAAAAATCACTTGCTGCCAATCCTGAGAGAAAATATTCCTAAGTCCACAAGTGGGTTAGATAGTGCAGTGTACGGGTATGTAGAAATCCACAAGTTAGTGACGGAGTTCTTTTCGCGAGAGCAACGGAACGTGCGTGCACTGTGATTGAATGTGCGATCGTATCTGATGGAATTTGATGAGGTCGTGTGCTTGATAAGTCGCCGACTCGCGTCTTTCGCTGTCGTGTGAATCACAATTTTACATTTTTCCCACAATCCAACCTATGCATGCGGTCGTCTGTAAAGCTTCGATCTGACATTCCGCAACACAACACAATAGCTTGGCCCCACTCCCGTGTATACACTCGCGAGTCAGTTTTGAAAGAAGTCACCGCCTCGCCCCGGATCCCGCTCGCTGATTGGTCGGAAGGTTTTCCATTCAGGCGCACTTATTGGACAGTCGCGTGGGTGACGTAGCGGCAGGCTGCCAGACTTGGAGCTGGAGCGAACACGCAAGCAGCGCACCACGGCATGGGGTAGGCAGTGATTACTCGGTCAAGATAGCACGTGCCGTAGTCAACATGTGCCCAACAGCCGTAACGCGTTGTTAAGCTCCGCCCACCTGCTCGCTGAAAACACACGAACAAGTGCATCGCTATGTTGAAGGGTCTGAGAGCCGTACAGTGATTGTACACGAGACATTCCCTTGCTCGATAAGTGTGTACCGCACCTCCACAAGTCATACCCCGTACAAGGTGAAAACGGAGAGAGAGAGAGAGAGAGAGAGAAGGAGAGGGAAGGAGATAGAGGGAGAGAGAGAGAGGGTGGGGGCGGCGGGGAGATAAAAATGATGAAACGAATGCATAACCGCAACAATAAAAGTTCGCAGTGGAGACCAGGTACGTGCTAAACATCTTCGAACGTACCGTGGGAACGTAAGCTTGGTTTGGGTTTCTCGAACACTTCGTCTTTTATTCATCTATTATTTTCCATTGTCATACCAGTCGTAAACAACCTTTTCCAACTAGCTAATACCCGAAAAAATATGAAAGGGCACGGGATAATTCTTTTCGGGGTTTATTGTTTAAAATTGTTGAAAAATAGGTAAAATATTTGGTGAAAGAAGATTTGTCATCAAATATGATAGCCATGCATCTCTAGTTCCGTTTTACAAAGTATGATTAATTTGCGGCTGTCATGTAATGAATTCATGATGGAATAAACAACATTGTCCCTTACTTCTGAAATTCAGCAAAATAGTTTGTTTACTTCCAATAAAATCAGATAGAGAGAGAGAGAGAGATAGAGTAAAGGGATAACAAGGCAGGGACAAGGACGGAAGAGGATTTTAATTTATGTTTTATAATTTTTTGATAACCCGATGCATTGGATTAAAGTGAAAAGGGTAATTTCACAGGTTTTAGCACTGAAAATCGGTCGGTGGAATCGGACTTGGACAACGTATCTGAACATAAAACTAATCTGGTCAAGGATATCTTAATCCTACTTCGTAATTTAGTGTAGATAACAATCACCATGTTCAATTACATATTGCCATAAAAAGGGGTGTGCTTATACCTGCGCATTTGCTTTTAAGGTTCTATAATTTTATGGTTTCAGTAAAATGAATGAAAGAGCATTTTGTCTTCCAGGACGACTCGAAATAACTTGATGACTTATTTGCCTAAGGTATTTGTTGACTTCTTATCTCAGACTAAAATCCATGGGAAAATCAAACAAGCGAGGCGAGGCGTACACGTAGCCCGGGTGAGGCCCTTGGTTCCTATGGCTTCTTACCTCATCGGCTTCAAACAATACCTCGTTGATCGGGGCAATCATGTTATTAGTGTTTGCTTCAACTTTGATTCTGTTCAATATGGAAAGAGCGAGTGACTCATTCTTGCTTGATTCAGCCCTTCAAAACAAAAATTCGAAAAGCCTATGATTGAACTTATGATCATTAGGGTATTTCAGATACATATTTGGTTTGAAACGCCGTATTTTATGCCTTTTCAAAAATAGTTTTTTGTTTTTTAAATATAAAATATCTCTACTACCGCTACCCCTCCAGTTTTCCTCACCATCCTTCCATTTCACGAAATCTCCCTCACACTAGGCCTATACTGTTAACAAACTAAAGATGGTGTCTAAAATCTCAACATGATCTGCCACATAATATTTCTCATTTTACAGTTACCCATATTTTTCAAAAGCCTAATAACACCCCGAACAAACAAAACGGGTGGTATTAAAAGTCAAGCACTGCAGTCAACAGATTACGTAGTTAAACCGTGGGAAACCCATGTTTTTCTGTCAACTATGCTGAGGGTTTTTAATACCGAATGAAATTCCATCACGTCGCGATGTCTCGGGTAACTCCGTGCAGGTAAGGGCTGTAAATATCATTTCGACTCGCTGCATTAGAAAACGAGGTCGTGGAATGATGAAGTTTTGCCTGTGTCTTGTGGCGTTACCTCGCCCTCCTTTTACAGAGGGAACCCCTACCTAAGATCAAATTAAATGAGAAGAACTGGGATAGAATTATTATAATATAATTCAACTAGAACAGCTAATACACTTGGAATGTTAGATTATAAACACCTTTTATCGGACAGCGATCCACAGCGATACAATAATAATAATAAGTTTTTCTGTAGCGCATTTCTCTTGTATCGGATATTTTTTTTCTTCTCAAAATCTTCGCTTTCGTTTGAGCAGATGACGAACAAAGCTCATGAACACCAAGAATGAAAATGTCCAAAACGAACAAAGATGTACAAAGTTTAACATGATACAAAGAACAACAGTGGCTGACTGCCAACTTTGAGAGGGCTCGCGTGGCTCTTCGCAAAACAGTTCAGTGGAGGCAAAATAAAAATAATTGAGTGCCGCCCTCTAGAGTGCATCTCCACGCGTAATGGTCAAAAAGTTTTTGCGGTGTACTTCTGTCGAACTATGCGACATACGTTTGCGCATGCACGGAATAAGTACTGCATTGATCTCCAGTGACTTTTCATTCGCCGGAAAGAAAGATAGCTTTATTAAAGAAGGGTGAACGAGAAGGAACAAGAGAAGAAGATGAAGGAAGGGAAGGAGGTGGAGGTGGAGAAGAAATTGAAGTGTAAAGAGGAGAAAAGGAGGAGGAGGAGGGATATTTGATGCTTCTCAAGTGTCGTATATCTTGGAAATAAAGTACATGGTAAAAATCGTAGCTGATTAAATTAAGATTTTGTTTTATTGTTTTCATTGTTTCACACACCACACAGCTTTTGACAGTTCGCTGTTGAACGCCTTCTTGAGAAAACAATGTATATCTCTTTTTTTTAAAGGATTTATCTGTTGCTGAAATTTCTGTGTCCTGGCTGATTTACCTATTTTTGTAAATGTCTCGTTGATGAAAGCGTTTTCCGAACTTCCATTTCACATTGTGTTTAGTCATGATGGAATAACAAGAACTTCGGAATTTTCGAAAAAAGAACTGTATATTTGATTGGGGAAAACCTATTACGATTATGCTATCTCAGCTAACTAGAGAAATTACTTCTAATGTGGTCTCGTATACCATAGATATATGCAAGAAGAAAACATACTTTTTTTCCCTTTTTTTGGGGGGGGGGGGGGGGGTCAGCTTTTTATGTAACTTGGTGCATCCTGCGTCTTGTCTTCTTTCATTTTTTGTTCAAAGATCCAAAATGTAGCACTCGTCAATTCACTCAGCTCCATGTTCGTTCACAATTTCTGTTCACATAATCGATATAAATTAATCGTACATAGTATTTGTTTATTCAGTAAATTCTCATTACGTCGGAGACGCTTATGGAAATGACGTTTCTTCTACAAAAGGAGGATAATGAAGATCTCAAATCATGTTTACTTCAATAGTCATACATTGTATAAATATAATTGCTCCATCTGTATATAGAAATTCTTGTATTTTCTCATTCTTTGAGAGATATTATAGGATGTTATAATGGTCAGATAAATCTTGGTTTGTATGCTTTTCTTTTATTTGTGTAATTGTTATCATCTGTGTTAGTTATAAAATTCATTCAATCCTTAACACTCTATAACGTTTTTTAAATTTTCTTCAAGAACTCACGAAATGGCGGGGCGCGTGGTATGGGATGGTACCCCTTCTCTATTTCTAATTTTCTGTTGGCAAAAAACACGAAATTGCTTGTTGGAATTTGTATTTTTATTTTGTCCGCAAACTTGCTTAATGGATGACCATAGCACATTAACACTTTCTAACAACTTTCAAAGCTGAGGACTAATTTGGTCCGATAGGACCAATATCTCCATTCATAATGGTTTATCGATGCCCTGGAAGTACACACAGGGCAATTTTTGACCTGACGTGGTGCATGGTACCGGAGGTGCACCGCGCGTTGTTTTCATACGAATCAGGAGAGAAAAAAAGAATTATTCATTAATTAACTTTTAAGTCTGACCCCATAGTCCCACGCCATACCATTGGTGTGTGCAGCAGCAGGTCCGTTGACAATAAGGCTTTGTCGTAAAAACAATTCACCGTGGTGAGTTTCTTTTGTTCTTCGAGGCCTGGTCATTGGTTTTTAAGTACCTCGTCGTCCGGTTCAATGTTGAAACAAGCCTTATTGACCCGTGGGCGAGAAAATAACGCCATGGGTTTTGAAATCGGGCCCCGAAGGTGATGTACATTAGCAGGGATTTCAAACCTGTTAATTCGGTCAGTTAGGATCTCAGTGTTTGTATGCTAGTCACGTGACTATGGCGTCGCCATCGATGATTTTTTTTTTTCTTCTCGTTTTTGAATGTCCGAATCCAGTGCCATATTCAGAAAAGAAAAAAAAAGAGTAGAATGTACATGGGAAGCCAAGCCTGACGTAGAAACAATGCAATCTTTGCTCATTTCCTCCCATAATTATGAGACTTCAAACAGGAAAGAGTGGAGCACACGTTGACTTCATCTAGGCTATATGTCATTGTACAAATACACACGAGCCAATATCTTCTGCAAAAGAGACGTATAATCAAAGGGGAATAATGGGTGGAAAATATAAAATAAGACCTTAATAGTGATTTGCAGAATTAATCTTAATCTTTCAGATTCCTTTCGAGACAAACGTGTTTATGATTTTGTGATGTCGTACGTTTTTAATGTTTGCAATGAACTTCACCGATGTATAGAAATGTCAATGAAATTGTAACAACTATATAAGAAATTTCTCTATATTTTATTACAAATGTTTTCAATCCATGTATTACAAGGAGTTAAAGGAATCGAAGGCAAAAAAGACCGTGTAGGAGAAGGTCAAAACAAAAAGAAATGGAAATAACAACGAAAAGAATAGGAAGAAATGAGATGGTGGAGAAGAAGTAGAGGTAATAGAAGGAGATGAATTGGAAGGGCAAAGGG